CAATTAAATCTACCACGAGTAATTAATCTACCATCACATAGAAATAAATCTACCACTGCATAAAAATAAGTCTACCGAAATAAATCTACCACTCAACAATAAGTCTACCATTCAAAAACAAATCTACCAACCACTAAATAAATCTACCATCACGTGAGCGGTAGATTTATTTGCTTTTAGCGGGAAAATCATTAATGGCAGTTTCGTAAATACGTTTTTTGTTATCAAAGGAAATAAGGGCAAAACCGAATTTAAAATTTTTCGAAGAGTGTTTGAGTAATTATGAAACAAAAACACCAAAATCATCAAAAAACCATTTACCAAGACTATTTTAGTAATTCTCCCTATATATATAAATATGGCCTATCATCCAATAGTTACAATATGAACCCAAGTTATTTCGAATAGCATCGAAAGCTCAAACAGAGTATGATTTGAATAAAGCAGTAGCATGGGATGTAAATCAAATGAGAAACTAGACCAGCCTACCAAGCCAACAACTTAATTTGATCTTTTTTTGCTTATCATTCTCACTGTTACATCTAAGAAACAGCAAATTAAGGGACATAAAACATCAAATTAGATCACTGAACCATCTCTCCAAGTTGAGCCTTTTCAGACACAAAAGCCTCAGAAGAAGTAGAGAGCTATTATTGTAAGAAGGAAACATCTATGCAAGGGATTATCAGTTGACTACATAAAACAGTATATTGCCAACATGGGATTCACAATTTAGTCAACAAACAATCAAGGATTCCTCATACGACCATTACTGACGCATCTCAACATTCAAAACATCTGTCTAAAACCAACCGATTTTGCACAATGAGTCTTGAGATTATCATCTTACCAATCAGTCATATTAGCATTCGAAATCACACATTGAAGACACAAAACTGATTGGCTCAATCACACTTACTAATGTTAATGTGCAAGGCTTAACATGAAATCAAGGGTAAGGAAATCGATGGTTGAGAGTCCACACAAGTTAAAGTCATCCTGGATGTAATCATCATCAACTTTACACAAGAACTCGGTCCCACGCAGGTTGCAGAACCACTGACTTCTGATTCCTAGCTGTCTCTATCTGATATATCCACAGCTAATATAGCCACAAGAAATACCCACAAAACATATCATCAACATCATCCTAATAAGAAAGTTGTACTCGTTAGCAGGTAAATAACACACGGCAGCAAAAGCTGCATGCATCTAAAATGAAGCTCCTAGTTGATCATCTGTTTATCATCTGGACTGCTACAGAGACTACTGCTTGATAGTTGATCTGTTGTGCATCCAACAACATGACAGAAAAGGTGAACCAGCCTCTGAACAGATTGCCATTGACCCACTATCCGAGTTTTGAAGCAAGTAATCATCTTGTTCTACTGCCAAAAAGGCATTCAAAAGTACACAAAAGCTAAAGAGGATCTTCAATGACTAACAAAGAGGATAAAAAATTTCTCAGAATAAAACTTCCAAGAAAGTCAGTCTCCCAAATCGAAATAAGAACAAAATCTCTTCAATAACAAATTAACAAAGAGGTCTAAGATATGAAACTTCTGAGAAAATTTACAATCTAAATTTCCAATCAAATTTAACAATCCTAAATTATACACTTCTGCTCTTCGTAGATCTTGGACCAGTGTCCTAAAATACGCTATACGCTAGTCGGGCGGTGGATTATCGTATAGTGTATAGACGTATACGCGGATGTTTATGCACGCTATATACGGTGGATATTTTTTC